CCCCGCGCTAACATTCGGGCCAACAAGAGTGATTAATCTAAATTGAATAACTTGTTTCATATTTGTTGTAAAATAAATAAAGTTTATATTTATATTTACTCACTATTATCACGTCCTTACGCGACCTTAGTTGTTAGGACGTTAAAGAAAAGGGAAAAAAAAGAAAAATTATTATCAATCTAAGGTCGAATTTACCTACTACATAAGAGATTCAGCGGTTAACTTCATAATTTACATTATATTCTGGCGTAGATTAAATGAGCTGTAGATAGTTTTATATAATGAGATGAGATAGTACAATGTTACAACTCACTCGGTGATTTAAAGTATGCACTTGACAAAAACATAATGGTTCATCGGCTCAATAAATTAAAACACAGTCAGGTGTTAGGAAAAGTAAAAGCACAGAGTGTACATTTATGCTTGAAGCAAATGAAAGCAGTTGCATATATAAGTATCTAAAATACAAAAATTGCAATGAGAGCACAAAATTAACTTACAAATAATTACCAGACATTGATTCTGTGAATGCAAATGTGTATTATATGTTATGTGTGGTAGATATGTCAAAATATTAGGTTTTGTGTAGCAACCTTATCAAACATTGCCTATCGGGTAGGTTTACCGTACCCTGTAGTGTAACCATATGACTACATTGTATATTGTATAATGGTAGTATTCAACCGATACTATGACGATACTAGAGTGATCTCCCTTGATTGACTACGGTACCCTGTGTATAGTTGTGTGGCACCCCTATCTGAATAAAAGATGGAGCATAGAATACATGTTGTCGTTCCTCTCTCAGACCAATCAAGCTTTACCATAACATAGAGGTAACATTACATGTAGAAAAAATCTTTTCACAAATTTAACACAGAGAGAAAATGGCACTTAGGAGCATGCAGCCTAACAAAGCGAAGTGTTACAATAGGGTAGATCTCAACATGAAATTTGCAGGGGACGCACAAAAAGATACGTTATTTGAAGAACATAAAGATTATTTAAATACATTGATCAATTCAAGATGAAATGTTAAAAGATTACGGCTCATTTTTACATTTTACATTTTACATTTTCCTGAACAGAGACACAATAGCCTATGCCTACGAGGAATACGTAAACCCTAAAAGGTAGGTAGACCACTAGAGGTACGCGTGTTGTTTACTGAAATGTACTAACGGAGGATGACAACATTCTCGATAGGTAGGTAGACCACCAGAGGTACGCGTGTTGTTTACTGAAATGTTTTAACGGAGGATGACGACATTCTCAAAAGGTAGGTAGACCACCAGAGGTACGCGTGTCGTTACTGAAATGTATTAACGGAGGATGACGACATTCTCAAAAGGTAGGTAGACCCCTAGAGGTACGCGTGTCGTTACTGAAATGTACTAACGGAGGATGACAACATTCTCGATAGGAAGGTAGACCACTAGAGGTACGCGTGTTGTTTACTGAAATGTTTTAACGGAGGATGACGACATTCTCAAAAGGTAGGTAGACCACTAGAGGTCCGCGTGTCGTTACTGAAATGTACTAACGGAGGATGACAACATTCTCGAAAGGTAGGTAGACCACCAGAGGTACGCGTGTTGTTTACTGAAATGTATTAACGGAGGATGACAACATTCTCAAAAGGTAGGTAGACCACCAGAGGTACGCGTGTTGTTTACTGAAATGTATTAACGGAGGATGACGACATTCTCAAAAGGTAGGTAGACCACTAGAGGTACGCGTGTTGTTTACTGAAATGTATTGACTAACCTAAATCGGAATCGTATAACCAATTCTGCAAAATGACCTGATTTCAATAAAGTATTAGGATAAAGGAATATTTCGGTTGTCTTCCGCTTATTTCGTTGCGACAAAGCATAAAAATGAATAGAAATTATACTGCAACATTTGATATGGTTTTTAAACCATGGAACAGAATATTTAACATTTGACATTGGGTCTCTAAAATGTAGAATTGAACTTTCAGTTGGTATAATGAGATAAAGGAACAGCATATCCAAATGTTCGACATTTTTAACGGTTGGACATTGTGTTGCTGATGAAATCTAAATCACCGCCATGATTTTCTGCCGCGAATTTAGATGTGTAAACGGTTATTATTTCGCTCTTTTAAAACTTTGATATTTTGATATTTCTTTTATTTTATACATTTGATCCTTTATTTCTATTTTAACCTTTGTCTAAGGCGTTTGCAGAAAAATGTATGGGGAATATGAAGTGGTCAATCCCGATATTTGTGGCCATATCAACGTCTGGGATAGTAAACGCCAACACATTTAAAGGCAGCAGGTAAACGCACTGGCATAATTAATTGATTTCTAATGTACCGGATAGATCAATTTGAATACTTAAATGATGTTAAAGATACACAAAAAATGTCAAGGGTAGAAAATATTAATGGCCAAGCTTCTAACAGCAGTGTTGTTGTCTGTAATACCGTTACGTAACAATCTTGGAAATAACCCACCCACTTGAATCTTGATAACGTTTGGTCTTTGAATAGCAAGAAAAGCAAAAACTACTTTAATTCCTTTGATCATCTAAAAGTTAAAATGATGCGTGCTAATGCCGCTTTTCGGGCCTTTTGATTTGCAAATTTCTCTTCTTTAATAGCTGCAACAAAATATTGCTGTATACTACGCGAATGTTTTTAAAAACACACTAAGAAATATTTAAGGAAGAGCTTTACAATTGTTAGACGGAGTTATGAGGTAGGGAGAAATATCTTGAAAATCTCGTATATTTCTTATTTCAACTGGAGGTAAATAGAAAAAAAAAACTTTAACAGTTTTGTTTTGTTTGGAAACATGTTAAAAATAAGCATATAACTGTAAAAGAAATTAATCATGAAACCTTATTTTAGGGCGGCATATTTGATATATTCATGTATTATTTATGGATAACAAAAAAGGAGCCGATTAGATCATCTTCATTATGATCACAATGATTTAATTAATTTCAGGACTTTGTTTGCTGCTTCGAGAGAAGGATATTTTCCGAAATACCTGTCCATGATTTACGTTCAGAAAAAAACATTGGTACCCGCCATCATTACAATGGTAAATGTTACACAGACGTAATTATTTCTCACTTCTGTTTTATTAATTAGACGACATAACGTTTAATCATGCTGCACTACTTTGCACGATTTTATGCAATGCTTACAAAACTACGTCACACTTTCTTTATGAAGTTGAGATGTTTTTACGTCAAATGTTTTTAATGTCTCAGATAGCAACGGATAGGCGTTTACATATTATGCAATTTCATACATTTTTGATTTATTGCGAACGAATCGATTTTGTTACAATGCATTTACGCTTTTAAAAATATCTTGAGAAATGGAGAAATATTTATTTTTGAGGTTAGTATCTCCATTTAATGTCTATTAATAGCTAGTTTCCAGGTAAAATTATGTTATTCTCATCGCAAATACATATCTTAACAATTGCTTAGATGCTGTCAAATTATAAGACATTTTGAATTTGTAATTTCTTTTGATAGTAGTTACATATAACGGAAATTAAATAATTCATATGGATTTATAACTCCACAAATTGTATGCATTTACTGTAGATTTGAATCGATACTGAATTCGTAAACAAGGTATTGTGAGTTTATTATGTACAATTTGGTTCCTTAAACGATGCTATATGTCATGTTTTACTGCCACTAATGCTGGATTGTTATTTTTCCAGGGTATGGTTGCCTGTGTCATTATGCTAGGAATGGAAATGATTTCCCTGCTAAAGGTGTACTCTTTCCTTAATGCACTCTACTGCTTTACGGCAATTGTGGGGATATTTAAATTAAGGAGGACGCATAACCCCAAAGACGCCCTTCGGGTAGTGTATTTGTAACTTACAGTGATGTTGTAGCATTAAGATATTTAGCTAATGCTTACTGTTCTTATTGTGGAGGCACATTACTATTAAACTAAATGGTTGTAAAATTCAAAAATGGCAAATAGAGCACACGTTTTTTTAAAAAAATTATGGTAATAACACCATCCGTAGCAACAAGCCTTTTCTACCAAGAACTTATGCATTACATTTATTTGCTCTCACATGTTACAGATATGATTTATGATATTCGTGTAAAATGTCACAGCTTCATATGCATATATATCGACATTCAATAAACTTAGGTTTTCTCGATTCTCTAGCAGTTACGCTCACTTATGCTGTTCCCTGGAATATGCAATGAAATTATCGAAAGCCCCCTTGTGGAGGAGTCGAAGAAGGCTGGTTTGATCTTTTGATTTACATCAAAGGAATCGCGCGTTAACATAACGGTAAAATTGACTGGCTTTGAAGTCGGATATCACCTCTTATATCATCACTATCTTATCTTCAAATGACAGATATTAGTGTAGGGATTGTTCAGGTTTTTACCTGAGACCAATCAGATAGCTCGCAACATGCCTTCAAATTTGTTATGACATATTCCGGGGGTTCAGAAAGCGTACGTGAGCGTAACCCATGGAGTATCGAGTATGTAACCTGTGTCTCAAAGGTTCCATATCAATTTTACAGTTACCGATAGTGATTCCTATAGCCTACACGTTTCTGAGCCTATTCATGACCGTGGCTGCTGTAGTATACAACCCTGGTGTGGTGGTAGCCAGCGTCCTGTGTATAACCGTCGGAATTGTTCTGAAGCTGCTGTCACTTGTTGGGCAAGCAAAAGACTCTGTTTTCCTGAGGATATACATCAAAGTACATCGTAAGATATTTTTGTTATATCATTATGGATCATATCCATGATTCTTTATTATTATGAGACACTTAACAATGTCTTATTGCTCCAACGTAAGATGTGTTTTAACTCGAATCAGGGTCTTTAAATCATTGTTTAAATATGCCCTGTTGTAAATGGAATACTTGCTAAACACTAAAACGAAGAATAATGCAACTTATCCAAACTTTTAAGAATTTCGATGCAGAAAGCATCCCTATAGAAGCTACAGCCTACAAGACACTATCACTCTATTCAGTATTCTAGTTACAGCCTACAAGACACTATCACTCTATTAAGTACAATAACTACAGCCTTCAACACACTATTGAAGTATTTGTCTATATACCATAACGGTAATACAATATTAGTTTAGTGCAACCTTATACATGTAATTCATTAAGAGTGATCTCCCTGGGTTTGTTAACTAAGATGCGGGGTGTCCGCCATTAAAAGATGTTGATTGAATTCGTGACTGGTTTGATTCGTTAAACGTCCCATACAAAGACATTACAATTGGCGAAGAGGATAAAGAACTATTTAATCAATTCTCGTAGATAACGAGAAGAAGATAGAAGAGTAAATTGGTAAGATAAACAGTTGAAATGGCTCAAATTGAACTGAATGGATTACCAAAATTTGAAGCACGTGGTCCCGGAGGAGACGCAACTCGTGTTCACCAGACTTGGGAACGATGGGTTTAAAGTTTTAAACTGTTTGCAACGGGAAAAGGGGTAACAAATGCGAATCAGAAGGTGGCATTATTACTTCATTGTGAAGGACAGGAGGTGCAGGACATTTTTTACACGCTCCCTGTGACGATGATTATGCACGAACATTGGATGCTTTAAACAAGCACTTCGAAGGCAAAATAAATGTGGCCTATGAAGGATATTATTTCCGTAAAATGACTCAAGATGAGGATACAGGTGGACAGTTCATTACGAGACTTAGACAGCAAGCTAAATTAAAGACCAAGTCATTGAGAAGTGTAAGTCTCATAAACTTCGAATGAGACTGTTAGAAAAGGGACAAACCCTGACACTAGAGCAATTGTGTGACATGGAACAAGTTATGGAACAGTCAGAAATCCAAGCAAAAAGGATGGAAGGAGCTACAGGTACAAGCCCATCTTCAGTAAGTACCGAAACAACTGGCAACAAATTTAAGGCACAAGATGACAAAACATGTAACAGATGTAGGTACACGGGACACAAGAGATCCACAATGGCAAGCAAATGATCAAAGGTGTACGAAATGTGGAAAGATTGGTCACTTCGCAAAACGCTGCAATACAAAAGTAAAGGGAGATAACTCGTACAGAAATCGAGGACCGAAAAGTTATCGTCAACATGGTCAAATACTCACAGAAAGAAAATTCAGGGGAAATGGAAAGGTACGCTCTGTAGACACGGATCATCAGGATGATGACGACAACGATGAATATGCGTTTAAAGTCACACAGGGATCAAAGACGGATGTGGTTATACTAAAAATGGATGAACAGATGGTAGACTTCATAATAGACAGCGGTGCAACAGTGAACATCATTGACAGAAACGTGTGGGGAAAGTTAAAGGTAAACATGATAAAATGTGCGTCGGAGAAGACTGACAAGAAATTATTTACATATGGATCTGAAGAACCTTTGAAACTCGTAGGAAAGTTCACGACAACGGTATCCATGCCAGAAAATGGAGAGAAACACGAGACAGAGATTTTCGTTATGGATGGAAAAGGGCCTGCGTTGCTGGGGAAAACTTCTGCTACTCAGCTAGGAATCTTGAAGATTGAAATTCATAATGTGACAGGCACTAGAGATTTGGTTGGGAAATATTCTGAGTGTTTTGAAGGAATCGGCAAACTAGAGGGGTACCAACTGAATCTACACATTGATGAGCAGGTACAACTGGTTGCTCAGAGCATGTACAGGGTTCCATACAGTCTTCGTCAAAAGGTGAACGACAAAAATGATGAGCTAGAAGCCCTAGATATTATTGACAGGGTCGGGAAACCTACTCCGTGGGTAAGCCCAGTGATCATAGTTCCTAAACTGGATGGAGACATTCGTTTGTGCGTGAATATGCGCCGAGCCAACGAGGCTATAAAACGCGAACGGCATCCCATACCGACCGTAGATGAGATCGTGTACAATGTGAACGGAAGCACGGTGTTCAGCAAACTTGATTTACGATACGGATATCATCAGATTGAGCTCGAGGAGTCGTCGCGAGATATAATTACATTCGTGACGCATAAGGGCCTGTACCGATACAAGCGCATTATGTTCGGTATAACGTCCGCGCCTGAACAATATCAACACGTGATATCGCAAATATGTCACGACTGTGAAGGAGTTCAGAACATTTCTGATGACATTGTCGTACATGGGAAAGACAAGGAGGAACATAACAAACGTCTTGAAAAAGTACTAGAAAGACTTGTTCATGGGTCATATGGCGTCTCAACACGGACTTGAACCGACAAAAGAGCGAATGGAGGCAATGGTCAATGCCACACCCCCACAGAACGCGTCCGAGATTAGAAGTTTCCTTGGATTGGTTAACTTCAGTGCACGCTCCATACCGAATCTCGCCGCCTTATCGGAGCTATTACGAAAGCTGACTAGGAAAGGTGTAACTTTTGAATGGGGTATCGAACAACAAAGGAGCTTTGAAAAGCTGAAAGAGTGTCTCGCGAACGCGGAAACCTTGGGTCACTTCAGACTAGATGCTGAAAAAACAATGGTGGTCACTGATGCGTGTAATGTTGGGGTAGGTGCGGTTCTACTCCAGGAAGATCGCGATGGAAATGCGAAGGTAATCAGTTATGCGAGTCGAGCATTATCGCAAGTTGAACGACGATACTCTACAACAGAGAAGGAAGCGTTGGGTGTCGTGTGGGCTTGTGAAAAATTTAAACTCTATTTGTACGGTGTTAAATTTGAACTTGTGACCGACCACAAACCACTAGAGGTTATGTACGGACCCAAGTCTAGACCGAATGCTAGAATCGAACGCTGGATCACGAAACTGATGCCTTACGACTTTACGATTCGTTACTCGCCGGGAAAGGGCAACATTGCAGATGACCTATCGCGACTAGTCGATACCAGGAATTTAGAACCCAGGAGTAAATTCGAGCGCGAAACCGAGGATTTCATCACATTCGTTGCAAGGGAGGTTACTCCGTCAGCCCTATCTACACGTGAGGTTGAGGAAGCTTCCAAAATCGACGAGGAGTTGAGTGACGTGCGTAAATGTTTAAAAATGAAGCAATGGGACAAAACGAGCACGGAATATTCTTTCCGGTGAAAGATGAACTGAGTCAGTTGGGATATTTGGTACTACGCGGTACACGATTAGTTATTCCGGAAGGGCTCAGAGGGAAATTTATTGATTTAGCACACCAGGGCAATTGGGCATGGTAGGCACCAAACAACAGCTCAGAACAAAAGTATGGTGGCCTAAAATGGACAGGGATGTGGAGAAATATGTTAAATCATGTCATGGATGTTAAATAGTGGACGGAACCGCTACCTGAGCCGATATCTCCAACACCGCTCCAAACGAAACCCTGGCAGGATCTGGCTATTGATCTGATGGGTTCGCTCCCATGTGGTCACTATGTATTCGTAGCAGTGGATTATTATAGTCGATACTACGAAATCGAGATCACAAAAGATATTTCGACCGAAAAGATTATCGGAACACTTGAAAACATGTTTTGTAGGCACGGTTTGCCAAAGTCCATAACGTCCGACAATGGACCGCAGTTCATCTCAGACCGATTCAAAGAATATTGCGAGACAGTGGGATACACCACCGACGTGTAACGCCGCTACATCCGGCCGCAAACGGTGAAGTTGATCGTCAAAACAGATCGTGACTTAAACGGATACAAATAGCACATGCGGAATCCAAGGAACTCAGAACGTATTTGTTGGCTTACAGGACGACGCCACACAGCACGACTGGAATTTCACCAGCGGAGTTGATGTTTGGTCGTCAACTCAGAACGAAACTGCCACAAGTTGAGAAACTGAGTTCCAGACGAAGGAGTACGGGATCGCGACGCGTACATGAAACATATGAACAAATTGTATGTCGACACTATACGCGGTGCGAAAGAATCTGATTTGGAACTAGGAGATATGGTGTTAATGAAGCAAAGACTGACCGACAAATTTACAACACCATTCAAACCGACTCCACACGCTCGTCCGTAAAGAAGGAAACAGTTGTACCGTCGAGAGTGACCAAGGTGTTAGGTACCGGAGGAACAGTACATTTGTGAAAAAGTATCACTCGTCACGACCCGAAATCAAAGTTCCGTCCGATCCGATCGAGGAACCAGACCCTTTGGAAGTTCCTCAGGAACCAGGAACCAGAAACAGTCGGGCAGGTTCCACCGCGAAGTCTGCGTCCGATTCGCAACCGTAGACCACCGAAAGCTCTCGAGGACTTTGTTGTGCGCAAGGAATAGACATTTGTGCTAAAATTATAATTATAATTATAATATAACACGTATAATTCTGTAATCATTTATTGACAGTTAATGTTGTTTTCATTTTTCATAGCAGTTCATATCAACAGTTTTCAATAATCAGATCTAGTTTAAATACATGACATTTTCATTGCAAGACTCTTTTAAGTATTTCTAGTCATAAAGTAAAATTGTTTTGATAATTAACATTTTAACTCAGAAAGGAAGAGATGAAGTATTTGTCTATATACCATAACGGTTATACAATATTAGTGTAGTGCAACCTTATACATGTAATTCATTAAGAGTGGTCTCCCTTGGTTTGTTAACTAAGATGCGGGGTGTCCGCCATTAAAAGATGTTGATTGAATTCGTGACTGGTTATATTCGTTAAACGTCCCATACAAAGACATTACAACTATCACTATATTCAGTACAGTAGTTACAGCCTACAAGACACTATCACTCTATTCAGTACAGTAGCTACAGCCTACAAGACACTATAACTCTATCCAGTAGGGTAGCTACAGCCTACACGATATTTTATCTCTATTCAGTATTCTAGTTACAGCCTACAAGACACTATCACTCTATTCAGTACAGAACCCACAGCCTACAAGACACTATAACTCTATTCAGTACAGTAGCTACAGCCTACAAGACACTATAACACTATTCAGTACACTAGCTACAGCCTACAAGACACTATAACTCTATTCAGTAGAGAACCTACAGCCTACAAGACACTATAACTATATTCAGTACAGTGGCTACAGCCTACAAGACTCTATAACTCTATTCAGTACAGTAGCTACAGCCTACAAGACACTATCCCTCTATTCAGTACAGAACCCACAGCCTACAAGACACTATAACTCTATTCAGTACAGAAGCTACAGCCTACAAGACACTATAACTCTTTTCAGTATACTAGCTACAGCCTACAAGACACTATAACTATATTCATTACAGTAGTTAGAGCCTACACGAAACAAACTCTCTATTCTGTACAGTAGTTAGTCGACACTAGCTCGCTATTCAGTACAGAAGCCACAGCCTACAAGACACTATAACTCTATTCAGTATAGTAGCTACATCCTACAAGACACTATAACTCTATCCAGTAGGGTAGCTACAGCTTACACGACACTATAACTCTATTCAGTATTCTAGCTACAGCCTACAAGACACTATCACTCTATTCAGTACAGTAGCTACAGCCTACAAGACACTATAACTCTATTCAGTACAGTAGCTACAGCCTACACGACACTATAACTCTATTCAATATTCTAGCTACAGCCTACAAAACACTATCACTCTATTCAGTACAGTAGCTCAGCCTACAAGACACTATAACTCTATTCAGTACAGTAGCTACAGCCTACAAGACACTATAACTCTATTCAGTACAGTAGCTACAGCCTACAAGACACTATAACTCTATTCAGTACAGTAGCTACAGCCTACAAGACACTATAACTCTATTCAGTACAGTAGCTACAGCCTACAAGACACTATAACTCTATTCAGTACAGTAGCTACAGCCTACAAGACACTATAACTCTATTCAGTACAGTAGCTACAGCCTACAAGACACTATAACTCTATTCAGTACAGTAGCTACAGCCTACAAGACACTATAACTCTATTCAGTACACTAGCTACAGCCTACAATACACTATAATTCTATTCAGTACAGAACCCACAGCCTACAAGACACTATAACTCTATTCAGTACAGAAGCTACAGCCTACAAGACACTATAGCTCTATTCAGTACAGTAGCTACAGCCTACAAGACACTATAACTATATTCATTACAGTAGTTAGAGCCTACACGACACAAACTCTCTATTCTGTACAGTAGTTAGACGACGCTAACTCTCTATTCAGTACAGAAGCCACAGCCTACAAGACACTATAACTCTATTCAGTAGGGTAGCTACAGCCTACACGATACTTTATCTTTTTTCAGTATTGTAGCTAAAGCCTACACGACACAATCTCTCTATTCAGTACAGTAGTTAGACGACACTAACTCTCTAGTCAGTACAGTAGCTACAGCCTACACGATACTTTATCTCTATTTAGTATTGTGGCTACAGCCTACACGATACTTTATCTCTATTCAGTATTGTAGCTACAGCCTACAAGACACTATAACTCTATTCAGTATACTAGCTACAGCCTACAAGACACTATAACTCTATTCATTACAGTAGTTAGAGCCTACACGACACTATCACTCTATTCAGTACAGTAGTTAGACGACACTAACTCTCTATTCAGTACAGTAGTTACAGCCTACAAGACACTATAACTCTATTCAGTAGGGTAGCTACAGCCTACACGATACTTTATCTCTATTCAGTATTGTAGCAACAGCCTACACGACACAATCTCTCTATTCAGTACAGTATTTAGACGACGCTAACTCTCTATTCAGTACAGTAGTTAAAGCCTACAAGACACTATAACTCTATTCAGTATAGTAGCAACAGCCTACACGATACTTTATCTCTATTCAGTATTGTAGCTACAGCCTACACGACACTATCACGCTATTCAGTATAGTAGCTACAGCCTCGAGCCATATCAGATATTGGGCCTCTGGTCCAATCGAGCTTATACGGAGCAGGATATGGAAATGATCTGATGATAATGATTTGGATATAACGGTTCAATACAAATAGGAAATAGTAAACGAATTACTGTACAAAATATGATGCATTTACGACCCATAATCAGCGGAATGCAATAAATAAACATTGCAAACTTCAAATACACGTCTCTCTAATACATGGTCAATAATACCTTTTGTGATATTTAGTACTTTTTGTTAACCACTAATGTTAACGCTCATACGAGAGATGCACATTAGAACCTTGTAATGTCAGGACTTTGATCGAACTTGTCTTTAGGGGCTAATGAGTGCAGGTACTAATTACCCAAAGTAATTATATATATCATTAATTGAACAATCCCTTGTTTCAGTTTATAATATAAAATTTAAATCATAAATGATTAAGTTTGAACTTTTATGTTTTTATTTCAACTTGCTTGTATATGTACATTGCCATGCTTCTCCAAACCAACAACAACACTTGAAAAGATTTTACCTTGCAATAAACAGCGGGTAGCATATTGCTATTTCTACGGATTATTCTGTATCAGGCTTAGACCAGAATTATTTAACAATATTTTAACATTTTTCTATTTTGTTAATTCAATATGTCTTATGTTATTTCAAAACGATTGACCACAAGCTTTTTATTGTTTTAGCGTATACTGATCATGCTTTTTGTTTCAGGGCCGATCGTCAAATTTTGTCACGCTGTATTACTAAGCGAATTTACCCAGGACTAGCACATACTTGTTAGGTTAAACCAGGGAATGGTTTCATCATTAACCGTGATTAATAATTGGTCTAAAATTGTAAAGTGTTGTTTTAAGAAAATTCAATATGGCGTGTGCTTAGTTTTATCTTGTCACTAGGAAAGGGACATTTTATCGTTAAAGAGTTTAAAATGGCATAGCTAGTCATAGTCGAGAAGGACAAAACATACCCTAGATATACAAAATTGGATTTGTTTATGTAAATGTAATGACGTTTATATCTAAAAATATACATACTGGAATGAATGAATGAATAAATAAATTAATTAATTAATTAATGAATGAATTAAGAAGTAAGGAAGTAGTACGTGGTAACACGTATGTGTGTTTATGATAATAACACGTGTGTTTTTTTAAATGCTAACACGTTGGTGTTTCGGATCTTAGCATATGTGATTTGAATGTAAACGCTTTGATCTTGAACGTTATCACATGCGTTTAATACGTGTGGATTGTATATGTCAACACTTGTGCGTTTTGGTTGTCATTTCGTGTGCTGCTGCATACAATGGGATGTTATTCAAAATATTTCATTCAGTGAAACAAACGACCAGGTAGTACCATTTTAGTGTTATTCAAGAAATAAAGTCGTAATAAAAATGTGGTGTGTGTTTTATTATGAATAATATTTAACAAGACAGAAAATAAGCACAACTGTAGCTCGAAACATCTGCAGTTTCAAATAATATTCCCGTACATAAAAGTATACTAGCACTATCACACCACATATTCTAACAATAAAACGTTATATTCACGGTAGCAGCCAGCAAAACAGTTAACTCTGAGATAGTCATGACTGTAACAAATGTGAGTAGATAGTCTGAAGAAGAGTAAATCAGGCAAATAATATCAAGATCAAAGCAAGGGACACTTGATAACAAAAAAAAGGTTTATACAAAGAGCTCTGAGACATATTTTAAAGTTCAAATGTCCGTTCATTTCCCTTTTCCAGTTTAACCGCTCCGCGATTCAGAGAGTCCATCCTCTTCCTTTCCATTGTACTGTTTGACCGCACTGTGGTTCGGGGAATTCATTCTATCCCTTCCTATTGTCCAGTTTGACCAGTTGGGGGGGGACTATCAAATACGACAAAGCAGGAAAAACCTGCTACCTGATGATTAAGAAAAAGAGACATCCCACATTCCATTTAATTTTGTCTAATGTTATGGTCCCCTTGCTTTGAATGATCTGCGGAGTGTACAGTTTTATAGTATGTGTATGATGTATCTGTAAAATCATTTCTATATTACTGACAACAAAGTAGACCGAATTGGTATTGTCTGTCTCTTGTATAAAAACTAAAAATTTAGATCATGATATACTCCAATGCTGAAAACAACGTTTATAACGACATCTGATATTTAACAAGAAATATAATGAGATTTTATTTTACCAGAGCTAATTGAAAAAAATGTGCATTATCAAATTTCGATAACACAGAAAATGAAGGACCCTTTTTCACGCGTGATCGACAAAACAAAAAAACACACACAAAAACCGGAAATGTAAACGCCGTTGATAGGGAAACGGGGTATTACTATCAAGAAAGATAAAGTTCAAGATTGGAGAGACGAAGTCGTCACTCTAATCCCGCAGCGTGGTAGTAAGCCTTCTTATTGTCACCTTGTTAGTCAAGAACGAGGAAAGGGGCTGAAGAAGAGGAATATGTTTCCTTGATTCCAACCTCATGAAGGTTTATACGACCGATGAGGTCAATACATTTCTTGCTATTCAAAGACAGCACAACGTCTACAGATCTGAACGATAAATTGAAGGACATGGTTATGTTTGGTTTTCAGTGTGCTTATAAGTTCATAAATGAATTCAGCTTCATATGAAAACAAAAAACAAACGAGTCAGAGAAGGCGCATATAGATTGCCAGTTAGCTAGTATTCAACCGGATTCTTCGGAAAACTTGTAAAGGAAGTCTGTTAGTTATCAGTCGACATCTTTCGTTGAAATTATTAAATTCGAAGCAAGCTCTCGAATACCACGAAACAACTGCAACGTGTAAACTGATTTAGTTAGTTGGGGAGGCAGAGATGATACTTTCAAGGAAATGAAAGTTAAAAGTCGAAAAATCGAAATCATTCTGATGAACATACAACGATCTAAATGATGCATGATAAGAAGGAATTTCGTATTTCGAAAAAATCTGTAGTTGGTGTTTCTTTGTTAATCATGAAGGTCTAGTTCTTTTTGAAAGCAAGAATTGAATAGTGTTTGACAAGGCTTTAGTTGAAAGATATTTGTCCCCAGTGAAGATATAAAATTTCTTTTTTTCATCAAATTGATAATTTTGGTTATTTCACTTGTAAAAATGTAATGTGAACGCTACGATAGGTAACGCGTGTTATTCAATATATATGCGATCTCGGATGTTATTAACTTGAAGTTACTGATAAAAGCCACCTCTTGTTAATGTTATTTTCAATTCCTTGCATCACAAGCTGTGGATTTTTGTTTCATATGAAGACGAAGCTAATGTAGGATAATTGTTACTTTACTACATAGATAATAACATTTCTGAACGCAGTTTTTCTATGTAATATGAGAAGAAGCTAGATTGCATTGAGCAGCCTATTATAAAAGGCGTGTAGTTTTGTGTTTAGCGTTGCACCAGACACCATTTTTGCCAATGAAGGTGTTTTAAAATTGCAAATAAATTGATGGTTTTCCGGTTCATTACTCTATAAATGTTATTTTTGTTTTTACTCGCACTCCCCGCTGTTTCATTCACAAGTATATAAGGTAACATACTGTTATTTTCTGTGAAAATATCGACAAATCTATATATCTAGAAATGAAATTCTATATTTTCAAAAATGTCATTTAGGAAGGTACAAACTAAAATAGTAGATACAGTGACAGATTTATGAATTCATTTAGTAAAAAGAGATATAAATTCATGAGTACAGGTGTACGACGTATGTCACCTGGCCAGGCTGAATGTGACGTCAGCCTTGCACAGATGATTGTGAATGGTGGTCGATTACTACAAAGTAAAAAAAATATACTTGATTGTGTTGAATGAGAACTGATTATGCCAAGTCGTCCCAATATGAGCGTTTTGCGCAAGCGTATTTTCTCGAAGGTCAGTAATGGTCTGACGGCTTGTACAGTGCAGTCCTGTTATGTAGAACACCTTGATACAGGTAGGTTAACATGGTTACAGTCTAAACGCAGATACCTCTGAATTTGTAGACATTTTGGTTTTTTTGTTTGGAGTTTGTGTGACTGGCACTCTTCTTCAAATTGTTGTGTTAGATCAGTATGCAGAAACAAACTGCTATGAAATCTAAAACAACATTTTCACGTACAAGGCTATTTCGATTTGCATGAATTTCAGAAAGGATATTAAATTCAAATTCATGACCCTCCATAGCTACATTTGTTGTTTATGACATTTGATATATTTTGAGATTCGACACATATCAATTGCTCGCTTTTATTTCTGTTTAATTTCTCAGAATGTCTAATCTTCCTTTGAATTATCATTTTACTGTTTGAACTGTTCTAAGGATTACGTACAACAAAGCAAACTCTAAATAACATCTGTCTATCATGACTGTGTTATATACCAATACATTTATAATAACAAGGTTCCAACTGAGAAATTGGACCGGTCTGGAACGATGTTGGTGAGTATGGCGTCTGTGCTTTACTTATATATAATGGTGTGCTAAAAGTGACTGAATCATTCATGTGAATCTCTAATATTACTGGCATGTATTCAAAGGTTTATTTTGTGTCTTTTATGTTCTTTGGTAGTACGGACAACCACAAATGTGATAAGTTTATAGTCAGACCTCCAATTTGACATTATTTCGGTTCAACGCGAAACCGTATATGTAATTGGATTAACAACCAAGGATTCATGTCGTTTCGCCGCTGCAAATCAATCACCATATTCATGAAATTGCTCTCATGCTCAAAGTCAGAACCTGTATTCAAGCCTGATTTCTGTTGGCATTGTCACATGATTTCAGCGTGTTCCGAGAAAGGTTGTATGCACATAGGCATCATGCTTGAACATTAGAACGGTTTCATGAGTACAGGCCCAGGATTTGTCCATGATACTTCTCATTGGCATTTCAATATGCTACACGAATGTGTCTGGGCTTTTTCTGAACCAACCATCTGGATACATCATTAGTTCTTTATTTTCTTTGAAATTACGACTTAGGTAATTGTTTATCGAGATAAATCATAAAGGAAGTATTAAATATAAGCACACTATCTATTAATCTCAAGTTACAGTTACATATATTGTCAGCATCAAATTCATAATCCTGGCAACATAAGCCATTCCTCGTAGATTTACTCGTTTTCATTCCATGTGTATGCTAATATGATAAACGTAAAAAAGGATGCTTTCAGGCAACAGGCTAGGTGATAATTTCAATGTGTTTTTTAGGGAGTGGGGGGGGGGAATTATTTTTATATTAAAATATTTAAATTTGCGCTGCAACGTCACTTTGAAAATCAACTTCATTTCAGGTCATCAGACAATAAACCAAAATGAGATACGTGACAAACGTTCTAACAAATGAACAAAAAATACGGACGTCATGTTTGATTCGCGTTTGATATTTTGGGCGAGAATTGGAATATTGCATCAAGAAATCATAGCAATAATATATATTTTATTACAATTCCCATTCTCTTCAACTTTCAGATTCCTAAAAATCACAAAAACGAAGCTTGTCTTCAGCCATGTCATAGAGAAATTCGGTTGAGTAAGAAGCAAGCTCTCATAAGCTCGCTGCCCGGCACGTCCGTTTCCCGCTTCGTTTATATATCATATCTACTCTCTTAGTCCTAACCCTAACCCGCAATGTTCAAAATGTGTCTCCAATATCAACAAATAACAGGACGGCGACATGCTTTCAGCGAAAACCGCATCACCGAATTAAGCGGAAGTGACGTCATTAACACAAAACGTCAATAATCATAACAATATTGTTATATTTGAATAATTCCGTTATGTTTGTTGTAATTCAAAATATGACCAAAGAAATCTAGAAGAACTGATAAGATTAAACGGTTGTTGTAACCCCAGACTATAATTGAAAGCTTTAGTCACAGGAAAATGCACGTGTCTTGGGCTGTTCTACCAGCCGAACATTCCAGTGTCGTTATTTTTTTTGAAAAACATAAATATTTGAAAATGTAAGTATAAGCATTAAACTGCTTTCGGTTTATAGGCAGTATGTATACCGAGTGTATTACAGTAAAATTAACCATGAAGCGCTAACGCCAACACGGTTCAGGTCATTTTTCTGTATCTCAGTGGATATTCATACTGCCTATGTTCCGAATTTGAAAGTAGTTTAATGATTAAAAAAAGCAATTATTTTAATATGATATCAAAATAAACATGATTGTATAATTATAAATTTCATTGATGCACTTATTCAACTGTTGATTTTTATGATTAAACCTAAATTATTTATGCAATAGATAGGTCATCAAGGGAAGTAACGCTTTATATTGAAATAATGTTCTTGTGTTATGTGTCTGTTCTGGCGGTGTGTGTATGACGGAACCACACTGAATCCAACGGTATCAGACGTGAACTGTTCGGATGAATCAAATCAGGGATACATCTGGATTTACACTTAAGTACAACCCAGAGCTCTTTGTCTACGGAAGGTGAAGCCAGACTCAGGTAAGATGTTGGGGTGTTATTTGGTTGTTGTGATGTGTTATCATCATGGCGTCCGGTCCATGGAGTTGTAAACACGCCCAAACTTGGCTTCGGGAAAACGCGACATTGTTGCCGACTAGGGGCAACATTCTGATACATTGAACTATGTTGTGATTACTTATTTAAGTACTAAATAATGTGTTGTTGACATGCATTTGTTTAACTAGCTGTATACAGTGAGTGCAAACTGTCAGTATGTAGACTATACATATATTCAAATGCGACATTGGCCACGGTTGAACGCGCTCGCGTTCACCTGTCATCTTGTTCACGGGCCTGGTCGTTTATGTATGTAACATTTTCGGGTATAAATCCTGGCGGACCTGCAAACGTTTATGCATGCCTTTCAATGCTTAGTTAAGTCTCGCTTGAAAGCACCGTCCGATTACTGGGTCCGACCTTATTTCATATACGAACAACGATAAACGCAAAAAGGCCCTGTAAACAACGCGTAACCCTGGAACTAGATGACCCACGGTTCTATGCACGTGCATGATATCTTATGTTTTCAACACTGCCTGAGAAACGTAGCGGGAGTGAGTCGTCGATATCTGACGTCCCCGATTATAAAAAAGAGACATATCACTAGACGTTAACTACATCAATACCATCGCCTCCTCTGCATTATCAACTTCTACACCGTCCGACATTAACTCTTTATTAGCTAACATTCTATCGAGTGTACCACACCCTATCCTGTCTGAGGACGGTCAAGCATGCATGTTACACAACACTACTTACTTACAGAAAAGGGACGCATTTCATAATATGAATAGAATTATATTTGTGCGTCATCATGATAAAACTTTTCGAAAAAACGAAATAATAATTCGTTTTAACGAAAGAATAATTCGTTTTAACGAAATAATAATTCGAAAAAAAGAAATAATAATTCGATAAAACGAAACAAAATAAGTGTATAGCATGTCAGTTAACGGGCTCCGTGTAAAACAGATTTCGAGAGTGACAAGACATTTTAACGACATTGATATATTTCGTTGTGAAAAACAAAACTGACTCAGGATCTTTTTAGAATACGAGAAAAAAACCTAACAATGAGGTTCAACAATTCAACAACATTCGAAAGGATATTTCAACAACAATAAAAAGGTTAGTTTATACTTTGTTTTATTCACATATTATATGTGAAAATCACAACATAATACAAACATGATTGAACATAAATGAATTGGAGACAGAAACAAGTGTTAATAAACTTATATAAGATAATTGCGGAAATGCAGTGTAAAATATGGTACATGTACAAAATATGTTATAATCAGGAATTCGGTTCATTGTGGTCAAGACAAACACTTCTGTTGCGTCATCGTTAGTACACTTAAGATGGAACGTTGATTTCCAGACTATTTCAAGAAAAGTATATATATATATGTATGTGAGTAAGATTGTACGTAAACAAGCTGCATTAGAATGCTGATATTGAATACACTCTATGATCATCATGTGGATGCTCTTTCTCTTCGCAGACAGTTGTTGTGACAGACTGTCCGCATTCAATACGTTGTTACTGATCAATTGTTCGTCACATCCCGTGCCTTAATACGTCGTTTTCCTGTTCATTCTCTTCCTCCTGGTATATCCCCTTCCACCAGACTGTTTGCATCGGGAAAGACCAAACACATGACTTGCTTTACATGTAAACTTTTTCCAATGTGTATATGAATACAAAAGCCATTGATTTCGAATCTCATTCGAAGACGTCTTAAGATGATAAATCAAATGATGTATTACTATGTTGGTAGCACTGCTATTTTGTTGACATGTGATCGCACACACACTTTCATGTATAGATGATAGCATGGTAGAACAACTTGCTGCGGAATTTAGTCAGATCTTCATTGACAAAAAAGAATAGGTTAACCCTCCGTTTTGAATTTTGTACTATTGCAGAGGAGTTGGAATTTAGCGTCGGTGGATTTCAGACGAACTGTAACTTGGCGCGGTTTAACTCAACTCAATAGGACGCCGGCGTGAGGTTTGTTTCGCTCCCGCTCCGTGTGATCGTTCGACATCAGAAGCCTGTAATGGAATATTTGCCTTCGCGCATGCTTAGAGAATTAGTTGTGTGTAGTGTCCTCTTTAAAATTTGGGTGAGATGAGACAGACTCCTAAAAGCCAGAAAAACGCACCAGAGGCCTACGTTCAATTTGGCGAACCAATGGTTTGAGTTTCTCTTGTACAATAGCATCTACATACTGTTAGGTCATCAGAAAACCGCCGACGCAGTGACGCTCTCAGATAACGATGCTCGGCGTATCGCCTCGGCGGTTTTCTGATGACCTAACAGTATGTAGATGCTATTGTACAAGAGAAACTCAAACCATTGGTTCGCCAAATTGAACGTAGGCCTCTGGTGCGTTTTTCTGGCTTTTGGGAGTCTGTCTCATCTCACCCAAATTTTAAAGAGGACACTACACACAACTAATTCTCTAAGCATGCGCGAAGGCAAATATTCCATTACAGGCTTCTGATGTCGAACGATCACACGGAGCGGGAGCGAAACAAACCTCACGCCGGCGTCCTATTGAGTTGAGTTAAACCGCGCCAAGTTACAGTTCGTCTGAAATCCACCGACGCTAAATTCCAACTCCTCTGCAATAGTACAAAATTCAAAACGGAGGGTTAACCTATTTTTTTTGTCAATGAAGATCTGACTAAATTCCGCAGCAAGTTGTTCTACCATCGCATCAACCTGTCGAAAGGAAATTGATCAAGAACGAACACTTGGACAACCAACCGTAAAAGAAAAGTGCATGATTCACTAGATAACGACCACGTGGGCATCTATACATGAAAGTGTGTGTGCGATCACATGTCAACAAAATAGCAGTGCTACCAACATAGTAATAAATCATTTGATTTATCATCTTAACACGTCTTCGAATGAGATTCGAAATCAATGACTTTTGTATTCATATACACATTGGAAAAAGTTTATATGTAAAGCAAGTCATGTGTTTGGTCTTTCCCGATGCAAACAGTCTAGTGGAAGGGGATATACCAGGAGGAAGAGAATGAACAGGAAAACGACGTATTAAGGCACGGGATGTGACGAACAATTGATCAGTAACAACGTATTGAATGCGGACAGTCTGTCACAACGACTGTCTGCGAATAGAAAGAGCATCCACATGATGATCATAGAGTGTATTCAATATCAGCATTCTAATGCAGCTTGTTTACGTACAATCTTACTCACATACATATATATATATACTTTTCTTGAAAAAGTCTGGAAATCAACGTTCTATCTTAAGTGTACTAACGATGACGCAACAGAAGGGTTTGTCTTGACCACAGTGAACCGAATTCCTGATTATAACATATTTTGTACATGTACCATATTTTACATTGCATTTCCGCAACTATCTTATATAAGTTTATTAACACTGGTTTCTGTCTCCAATTCATTTATGTTCAATCATGTTTGTATTATGTTGTGTTTTTCACAACGAAATATATTAATCTCGTTAAAATGTCTTGTGACTCTCGAAATCTGTTTTATCATGATGACGCACATATATAATTCTATTCATGTTATGAAATGCGTTCCTTTTCCGAAGGTAAGTAGTGTTATGTGACGGTTGTATTATAATCTGCAGAACGGAATTTAGTGTCTCTAACGTAGTCCAACATATGTAAACTACAGAATATTGAGTTTTTGATTAACTCTATTGATCTACGTTATATATGATATCTAGCAAATTTCATATCCCCACTCATTTAAGTGTTATTGTATTCGATATAAATGAAGCATTTAAAAAAATGAATATCGGTATATGTATTTAAAAGTTATTATATTTATGTTAATGTAATTCTTAGAATACATTCAAGGTATCTCAAGGTAATAAAAGTTTCAAATCAAGTGATCATTATACCATGTTACCAAATATATTTTACAGCACTCTAAATACCACTCACAGTCAGAATGGCGCTTCAGCTGAAGAAACAACTAGGACTGATAGATGGTATCAGTTACGTTGCTGGTTCTATCATAGGGGCGGGTATATTTATAAGTCCGTCCCCGGTTCTAGCTGGTAGCGGTGGATCTACTGGACTGGCACTGCTCGTATGGACCGTGTGTGGGGTCATAGCCATGGCAGAAGCGCTCTGCTTCATGGAAATTGGTAAGATTTACATATATTTTTAATATAATGAAAGACTGCCATTTTGCAATACAAAGAAATTTCGATATTTTGGAGTGAAATCCCTCTGAATTCAAGACAGTTTTTTGTTATAAATGAAGGAGAAAAACACACTGCTATAATTGAAGTTTTTATTACAAACTCGCGTTTTATCAATCGAATTTTTATAACGCAGGTCGTACAATTTTTCAGGTGTTTATTTTATTGAGGGCTATGATATTACATGCCTCGACTGAATGCCCGCAAACTGCATAGCATGTTCCTATATCAGCTCGTTAGAAACAAAATTTAATTTATAAATGACAACCTTAAATTTTGAAGATTATGAACCAACATAAAATTAGAATGTCAAAAATAAAGTTGTTATAAATAATTTATAAGAAAAAGCAAACGTTAATATAAAACATTAGACATACGTAATTGCGTATCGTCACAAAAATAATGAGTTGTACAAATTAACATACTTAGGTGTGCCACATGTTGTACTAACTTATTAGACATTAGTTGTGAGTAGAATGACATTGCCTTCCCTACCGGATAAAATAATAGCAATAGTATTCAAATATCAAAAGGGCACAAATGTAGCATATCATTTATCAGTAATATCAGTCTGGTATATCAATATACCATAACCATATCAAAAATTTCGCGATACATGAAGGTGCAATTACTACTACAATGAATTGCAATACACAAAAGTACAATTACTTTATCAATAATATCGCGATACACGAATGAACCGTCACTATGAATACTATGGTAATTCACAAATGTAGCATTATTATATCAATAATAAAGCGATACATGAATGTACCATTACTATATCAATAATATCGCAATAAACGAATATACCGTTATCATCTCAAATGTATCGCGATACACGAACAATGTACCGTTACTATAAATAATATCGCGATGCACTTATGTAGCATAACTATATCAATAATATCGCGATACACGAATGTACCGTTACTATAAATAATATCGCGATGCACTTATGTAGGATAACTATATTAATAATATCGCGATACACGAATGTACCGTTACTATAAATAATATCGCGATGCACTTATGTAGCATAACTATATCATTAATATCGCGATACACGAATGTACCGTTGTTATATCAAATATGTGGCGATACAGGAATGTGCCATTAGTATATCAGCAACATCTTGATACATTTATGTACCATTGCTATATCAAAACTATCGCGATACACGAACTTACCTTCACTCTATCGTAATACTCAAATGTACCCTAACTATATCAATAATATACACGAATGTACGCATACTATCGATTTACGAATCGATCTAAACTTATAATCAAGTAAAAAAAAATATTTGAAAATATGTTTGGTACAAACTGTGTTTTCCCTATTGTTTCAGTACAGAGAGTGAGGAAGTCAGGAGGAGTGTATATATTTATCTTGGAAGCATTTGGCGAGTCCTTGTCGTTCGTGTGTCTTTGGATGCATTTCCTCGTGCTGAGACCGATGTCTATCGCTTTGGGGGCGTTGGCCTCGGCAACATACCTGCTACGTCCCATGTTTCCTGAGTGTTCACAAATGGTACCCGTCTCGGCCGTCAAGATCATCGGAACCCTTCTTATAGGTAATCATCTCCCTGCGTAATAAACAAGTTGTCGCAATTATTGGTTTATATAAAAAGCCAAATGACATTTAAGGTTTTCCCCATCACTTCAGCTAATATTTCTCGATTAGCTTATATTGCATTTTTGCTCAAATGGAATGAAATATTTATATTTGTCGAAACTCTACGAACATTTGGTCTAAAAATTGTGAAAGATGACTTGTGTAAATATCATCTATGTGTATCTATGTAGCGAACTTTCTCGTATCTCTATTGCTTTTAATTTTCCTTTGATGTCCAAAGGCCTGTATCAGTTTTTAACATGTCGTTTTCGGAACAGATACAGAAAGGATAAACTGAATAAATGCAAAAGAAAATTTTAGACAACAAACAAAAATATACAGTCCATAGTCATTAATATAGAATCTCTCTTTTTATTGTATTTTTTTTCAGCTGTCCAAAACAGCTACATGTAACATCAAATAGAAGAATATGATCAAATACAGATGAAATGTTCGCTTTTATGGAAATACATTTCAATCGACATTTTTTATCGGAATCTATTCTGAAAGTTTTCCGTCGTGAGTTTTCATTGTACTCCTGTTCATAACCTTTTTTTTTTTTCTTTTTTTTTTCAATGTGCTAAAATGAAAGCCTACCTACTATACATAACATAAACGAAGTAACTTAACTGTTCTAATAATATTTCTGTCAAGAAAACATATGGTACCAACCCGTAAATAGCCATCTTATCACATATCCTTTACATATATCATTACAAGTGAGTCAACACCATTGAAAAATAATGATGTCTTCTGTCACACAGGTGAAAAACACATGAACCATTGAACCTTGAAATAATCTGTAATATTACAATTTTATCTTATTTATTAAAATCAGGCGAGACATAAATGACTATTATTAATGCTATCAAAGGTCGCTGTTCTACCAGATATCATAGTTTAGATTGTGGGTGTGATGTGAAGATGGATCTGCAACAGCTGGCCGAAGTGTCCACAGATACATGACGGCAACATCGCTCAATTATCCATGGTTGGACAAATTTACGAGCCGACGCTGCAGCGGATTTTTTTTTTATATAAATATACGTTCAGCATTAACATTTTGATCAAATTGCCATAATAATTATGTAAATCCCCAGATCGCTTGCAATCAAATTGTTGTAAATGCTGCATTTCTTTTTAACTCATACGGATTAATAGTACAATATATATATTCAATGCAGTTTTGAAAAGGCCAAATAGCTTAAATAGCAGCAACAGCTGTTGCATCAAAATTGTTTATGTCGGTGCTATATTTGTATATCAATTACTGTAGTATCATTATTTTTACTAATGCCAGTTTTGTTGGGGTTTTCTAAAATATGAACTGCTATATTATCAATGTTACTAATTGCGATGCTTTATGTGTACATGAACTGCTTTAGTATCAGTGTAACTTATTTTAGTGCTATATGTGGTTATGAACTGCTACAGTATCGATGTTACTAATTTCAGTGCTATATGTGGTTATGAACTGTTACAGTGTTAATGTAACTAATTTCAGTGCTATATGTGGTTATGAACTGTTACAGTATCAATGTTACTAATTCAGTGCTATATGTGGTTATGAGCTGTTACAGTATCAATGTTACTAATTTCAGTGCTATATGTGGTTATGAACGGTTACAGTATCAATGTTACTAATTCAGTGCTATATGTGGTTATGCGCTGTTACAGTATCAATGTTACTAATTTCAGTGCTATATGTGGTTATGAACTGCTACAGTATCGATGTTATTAATTCAGTGGTATATGTGGTTATGTACTGCTATAGTATCAATGTTATTAATTTCAGTGCTAATGTGGTTATGAACTGCTACAGTATCAATGTTATTAATTTCAGTGCTATATGTGGTTAAAAACTGCTACAGTATCAATGTTACCAATTTCAGTGCTATATGTGGTTATGATCTGCTACAGTATCGATGTTACTAATTTCAGAGTTATATGTGGTCATGAACTGCTACAGTATCAATGTTTCTATTTTCAGTGCTATATGTGGTTATGATCTGCTACAGTATCGATGTTATTAATTCAGTATATGTGGTCATGAACTGCTACAGTATCAATCTTATTAATTTCAGTGCTATATGTGGTTATGAACTGCTACAGTATCGATGTTACTAATTTCAGTGTTATATGTGGTCATGAACTGCTACAGTATCAATGTTACTATTTTCAGTGCTATATGTGGTGGTTATGAACTGCTACAGTATCAATGTTACTATTTTCAGTGCTATATGTGGTTATGAACTGCTACAGTATCGATGTTATTAATTCAGTGCAATATGTGGTTATGAACTGTTACAGTATCGATGTATTAATTTCAGTGCTATATGTGGTTATGAACTGTTACAGTATCAATCTTACTAATTTCAGTGCTATATGTGGTTATGAACTGCTACAGTATTAATGTTATTAATTCAGTGCTATATGTGGTTATGAACTGCTACAGTATCAATGTTACTAATTTCAGTGCTATATGTGGTTATGAACTGCTAGAGTATCAATGTTACTAATTTTAGTGCTTTATGTGGTTATGACCTGTTACAGTATCAATGTTACTAATTTCAGTGCTATATGTGGTTATGAACTGTGACAGTATCGATGTTACTATTTTTAGTGCTATATGTGGTTATGAACTGCTACAGTATCGATGTTATTAATTCAGTGGTATATGTGGTTATGAACTGTTACAGTATCAATGTTACTAATTTCAGTGCTATATGTGGTTATGAACTGTGACAGTATCGATGTTACTATTTTTAGTGCTATATGTGGTTATGAACTGCTACAGTATCAATGTTTCTAATTCAGTGCTATATGTGGTTATGAACTGTTACAGTATCAATTATACTATTTTCAGTGCTATATGTTGTTATGAACTAATAGAGTATCAATTTTACTAATTTTAGTGCTTTATGTGGTTATGAGCTGTTACAGTATTAATGTTACTAATTTCAGTGCTATAAGTGGTTATGAACCGCTACAGTATCAATGTTACTAATTTCAGTGTTATATGTGGCTATGAACTGCTACAGTATCAATGTTACTAATTTCAGTGCTATATGTGTTTATGAACCGCTACGGTATCAATGTTTCTAATTTAAGTGCTATATGTGGTTATGAAATGCTACATTATTAATGTTATTAATTCAGTGCTATATGTGGTTATGAACTGCTACAGTATCGATGTTATTAATTCAGTGCTATATGTGGTTATGAACTGTTACAGTATCGATGCTATATGTGGTTATGAAATGTTACAGTATCAATGTTATGAACTGTTACAGTATCGATGTTATTAATTCAGTGCTATATGTGGTTATGAACTGTTACGGTATCGATGTTATTAATTCAGTGCTATATGTGGTTATGAACTG